GTGCATAGCTTTCTGTACAGACAGTGGGCTCGGGACAAAGAAAGAATGAAGGCTTTGTCTCCTGCAGCTCTACTGGTAATAAAACAACAAAGAAGAAACAGTGAGAATCAGCAGCAGATGGAGATGCCATACTTCAGCTAAGGATAAATCCAAATGTGCTGCTGGACCAGTTGAAATCTGAAGAGGGTGAATAGCTTGCATTGATGCTGACTGTTTTCACGATCCTCGCAAAGCTGCAACTGTCCTGAACCTCACAGATGTTATATTCCTTTTTACTTAGAAAAATATATTTTTGGTGCATTGACAGGAGAACTTGTCACAGAGTCCCCTCTCACCGTCAGCACTGACTGGGACTATGAACCCACAGATGTGCTCACCTTCAGTTCCCAGATCTGGGCTTGTGATCTGCACTCTGAACCTCAAGACTGAGGCAGACACACTAACATGGGCATACCTAGAATAGCAGCAAGCGATGTGCAATTAGACAACCAGCTGCCATGACATTGTGGTAAACTGCTAAAGAACAGATAATGTTCTGGAGAATCAAGGTTGGTGCAGTGTGCATCATCTTTACAAGGCATATTAGTGGTGGCATTTTGTGCAGAGCAGTCCCTAGGTAAAGGGCAGCAGCATTCACTGGAAGGAGAACTGGTAGACCTGCCATGCCAGCAGCTTCCCTGATTGCTACTAGGTGATGTTCTGAGTCCCCTGTTTAGCCACTGTTTCTGGGCCTTTGAACTCCCACAAGGAAAATTCTTCTAGTAAAATTGACATCAGGGTCCTTGTCTGTCTGACCCCATCAGCCACCCCCACTATCCCTTACTGCAAGTCCCCCAGCTTTGGCCAAACCTGCCTAAGGACTCTGGGAAAGCATGCTTCCTCTATCAGCCCACCTCCACCTCCACCCCCACCTTCACTTCCACCACAAGCCACAAATGCTTGTGTATTTAACAAGGAGCTATAGCCAACCTGTACTGCATTTACTCTGTGGTAGGCACTCTGTGAAGATCTTTTGTATATTAACTCAAGTAACCAGGATGGGTGAGTTCTTGGGCAATTATAGACAGAGGTAGCTGAGGACCATGGAGGGGCTCCAGTGAGGGTCCACAGTCAGGTGAAGATGAACTGATAGTGGGCTGAGCAGTCAGGAAATGGAAAACCGTAAGTCCTCAGGGCCACGGAAGTCAGGGAAGGAGTGGAGGTCCAAAGGCAAGACATGAAGATCAGATGAGAAAAGAGAGGAGAATCAGCTGCTGAGCAGTAACAAATGACCTTAGCCTAGTTATGTATAATTCAGGGTCTCTGTGGTGGTGGGGATGGGGCAGGGCAGCTATTGCTGTGCATTAAGAAGGGGAAGATGAGATAGAAATGACAACAGTGTGCCCAGTGCTTTAGGGACGTTAGGCATAAAAGGACAAGGAAATAAAGAAATTTGAATAGGTCTCGAAATTAGAGGAAAGTAGCATTTTATTGACCACCTGCTATGCATAGTGAATACATTCTTTCATTTACAACTCAAAATAATCCTAAGGGACTATCTTTACTAGCCTCCTTTTCAAGGTGAGGAAGCCAAACCTTAAAGAGTAATGGTTATTCAGCTGGAAAGTGAGTGGGTGGGAAATCAAACTAGGTATGCTGGGCTTGAAGTACAGAGTACATTCTACTCCAGTGTGCTTCAGGAGTATGGAGTTTGAAGAGACAGGAGGAGAAATGAACAGAAGAAGAAAATGAAGGCACTTGGGGGAGATGGGCTGAGAGTAAGAATCACGGTGTCTCCAGAGAAAAGAAGCCCTCATCTTCCCTGGCTGACTCAATCTTTTCCTCCAGCAAGAAAACCTTCACAGTCGCAGGGCGTGAGAATCTCCTCTCCCCTCATTGTGGTCACTTTATCAACTACTGCAACTTTACCAGTTTCCTGTCCCCGGGCTTCCACAGCCCCTCCCCACACTGTCTAATCAATGCTAACCTTTTCATTGCTAAGTTCTTTGATCCTTTTATCCCCACTAACTACTCCCCCCTTAAATCAGACTTTCTCTTGGTCTCCTCGACATTGCGTTCTTGAATCATCTCTTATTGTTTGGCCAGTCTTTCCTTCCAGGCTGCTGTTCTCTTTGCCTGTCCCCTAATGGTTGATGTTTTCCAAGGTTCTGTCCTTGATCCTCTTTCCTTCTCTGTTCTCATGCCCTTGCATAAACTCATCAACTTCTCTGGCTTCAGTTATCATCAAGGCTCCTAAATTAATCAGGCTCCCTCAGCTCTTCCTCCCCACCTCTGGATTGCAAGAAACAGTTCCATTGCATGTTTCATAAATGCTTTAAATTCAAAATGCCCCAAGTTTTCTTCCAAACTGCAGCTCTCCTTTCTTTGTAAAGGCTTCCAGACTTAGCTCCCTGACGTTGTGCAGAGAAGATACAACCCTCTGGATTGGAAGATTCTACGTGTTTGTACCTCAAAATCCCAGAGGCCCCAGATTGCTGAACTAATATGCCTCCCTCCCCCAAATAAGGAAGTCTCATTGAGTGTCTAGTTCTTGAAATCCAAGACTGCTAGCTCAGTCCTTAGTTGAAATAGGCACCAAATGTCATGGTAGAAACATAAAGCTTTGTTGACCTTTCTGGCCTCCTGGGAACAGTCTCGTGCTTTAAGAATTGTTGCAAAAGGATAAAGTGAAAGTAGTTCTTGGAGATCAAAATAGAAATGTAGACAAAAAGAACTGAGATCACAACATCTTTTAAATAAGGAACCGAGTTAGTGTCCAGGCTCCCAGAATTAATGGGGGCAGGACAGTGAACCACACAGTTCCCCATTTCTATGGAGTCAGCAGCTTGGATCATTCTGCTGCTCCAATTGTCTTCCATGCTATCTCCCGCAAAGTTCCTCAAAATGCTCCGAAGTGCACCACCAAGCTAACGCCCCTTTGCCTTCCCGATACCATGTTTCCCCAGGCCTCATAACTGTAAAATCAACACCTTGGGCCCATTAGTAAAAGGGATATTTGGAGAACTGCTGAAAACCAGTAGGTGTTTAATAGTTATGGCTCTGGAAGTTTCCCGAGAAGGGAATTCTTTAGTCCACTTTCTCGGTCCTGCAGAGCTTCTCTTCAACAACTCTGGGGCCCAGAGAGACTTCTTAGCCAGACCCCTGGGGCCTGATTATTCACCCTGCAGGATGACTGCAGTTTCCCCTCTTGGGTCTCTGCAGAGTTTTTATTGTCTAATATTTGTCCTCTGGTTAGGACTCCACATTTGGACGTTGTAAAGCTCATAAAGCCCTGTCCTCCCAGTACCCAAACAAATAGTGTCTGACTTGCCCTAGAGCTTAGCAGACAGAAAATGTGTTGTGTTGCCCATGGTGTTACCATGGGATCCTAAAGTAACCTGAAGCCCCTAAGAGACAGTCTTTGGAAGCTGTCTGTTTTCCATGGGGGACGGCCTGCATGAGATCTTGCAGCCAGGGTGGGAAGGTGTTCACAAGCAATTGTCGCAACAGGCAGAGAATCCCTGTGGGAGACCGAGTGCACTGAGCAGTGTCTCTCTCGAAATGGCCTAACCTAACTGGCTTCTTTTATAAGCAAACTTACCAACATCACCACCCCCCCCTCCTCGGCCCCCTCCCCCACACACACACACTCCTTCACCATCTCTCCTGAGATTTCTCAGAAATTCACCAGGATGGAGCCAGCGGGAAGAGGGATGTTGGTGATTGGTTGGTGTCTCTGGCCTGCCTCCTGACTAAATTCCGAAATGCTCAGTGAAAGTTCAGAACTCCCTAAAATAACTTCAGAATTTCATTAACCTGATTTCCTATTTTAGTTCTAAAGACCAGATATGCCCTATGATATTGTTTTCTAACTAGAACATTTTCTTGAAATCATTGTAGTTGTCAACTTTTCAGTGATTTCTCCCAGCTGCCCTTCTATAGGCGCCCTTCAACTTGCATCTGCCTCCCTCTTTTTCTAGCACCGTCCCTGACTCTTGAGAACCCATGGGAGCCGCCTGGGCCTTTGTGCCTGGACTCTGCTGAAGGCTGCTAGGCCTTCTTGAAATATTGCCCAGTTTGGGGGTGGGACGGGACATGCAGCGCACGTCAGCTATGACCTTCTTCCACTCAAAGGGGAACTTTGCTTAGACCACAGAACGTGTGGTAAAATGACATCCACCATCACAAACATACATGGACAGATGGAAGGAGAGGCACTCCAGAAGATGTGTATTGTCAGAGCCACCATTAGATCAAAGAGCTGCATGTGTAAAAAGTAACAATTTGAAAAGTTCTGGTGTGGCCAAACTGCCAGATCCTTTAAGCATCAGTGTTGGACTGATGGTTTAGCAACAGTTGTCCTTTTTCTATCCTTCTCTGACAAAATTTTCCTCTCTGCTTGCTTGTTTGGTTAGTTTGCACATTGTCCTCTGGCGGCCCTTACTTGAGAATTTCCCTGTGCAAAAAGATTATACACATAATAGGGAATAATTAGCCCCTAAAATTGGAGTTTTTATACAATTTGGTTCTTTTTATGTTATTTTGAGGGGACAAATGCTATGCTCCCAGAGAACAACTTATCCCCAGAGACAGAGCAGGAGCTGAAGGTTGGCATCTGAGCACATGAAGGCTCTCTCTGCCTCCATGAGGGAGATACATGGCACTGTCTCTGACATCCCTTCCCACCTCTGTCTTTGCTAAATCCCCTTGTTTCATTCTCTAACATTCCCAAAAGCTACCTTACTCCTATGTTCATCCTAACAATTAACACTCAGCCACCACAATAAACAAATTCATATTCAACACAAAGAAAACATTTACCATATAAGGAGAGCTCCTTGAAGATATGACTTCATTTTTTAAGCATTATTTTGATTATGCTGTCTTCTCTCTGACTTTCATAACTTTCCTCAGTTCTTCTTTGTATATGAGCCTATAATGCTGATTATGAATTTAATGTTATAAAACCATCTCAACCAATTTTTGTCATTTTTCTAGTGCACTTTATTAGTGCAATTTACCTTATTAAGGAAGATTGGAGGTATCTATTATTAACCCAATTTCTGATCTAAGTAAGGCTGCAGAATCATTTGCATTTGAATCTTGATTCTCAATTCTCCTAATTTCAAAGACAGAAGAAGAAAGGTAGTAAGTAGATCAGCAGGTATTATCTCAGAGGCTAAACTCCTTCCAGTAATTCCTAGGGATTGTGTCAGCAAAAGGAAACTCCCCCCCGCCTCGCCCCCCAATCAAAGTGACTAAATGACATGACTCAGGGGCTCTCAAAAGCCCACTAATTCAAATTAAAACCTCCTCTCTTTCCCCTCCCTCCTACCTAGGCATTAAATTCATTTATTAGAGCAAAAGAATTATTTACAAAGGTAGCTTGTTAAGCCTCATATGTTTCCTAGAATGATATAGAGGTGTTGTGATATCATGAAAACCCTTGGTGAGTAAATCCCAACAGGATCCAAATCCTGGCTCTTGCCAAAAGTGTGAAGATTAGCAAGTACTCATCCTCTTGTTGTTACTGAGAGACCCAGAGGAGGCAACACAGGTGAAAGCCTCCTACATAGCTGCTCCGAGCCTGGCACATCATATATATCCAATGCATTATCATTCCTGTTGCAACCTTATGCTGTCCAGGAAAGAAATGCCTAAGAACTTTTTAGAATTCTGGGTATAAAATACATGTAAAGATAGTAAGAAACAAGCAGCTAAGGAGAGATGTTTCCATATGTCTGGAAAACTTGAAAAACAGAGAATTAATTGCCTGGGAAATGCCCCCAGGCAGCTGCCAGTAGCCTGGGATCAGTGGGCATCTGAAACTATAGAGGAGAAGGCAAGGAACAAAGCAAACTGCCAGCTTTCTCCTCCCCAGACCATCCTGCTGCCCAGTATCTCCTGTGAGGCAGACCTGGCATCACTACCCACCTGTCTCCGTGAGATCCTTCTGTCACAGGGGCCAGCTCAGGGCTTTCCTAGTCCCGGTGTGGTCTCACCCCCGGATGACAGAGAACACAGTCTGTCACGCCCAGCTTCTACTCTCGCTGTTCTCAACCCATTTTCTACATGGTGGCCAGCGTGACCTCTCCAAAATGAATATCTGACTACTTACTCTTCTCCTAACAAGGAAAGCCTCCTTCAAACATCTCAGAGAATTTATAAGGAAACAAAGTTATTGTTAAGGTAAAGTCAAAATAAAAAGAAATCAACTTACCTTAAGGAATCTATGATGCCTCCAAGTACTCTGTAGACAATTGTGCTTTCTGTGCTAGAGGTGCAAATGAGGCAAAAGGCATCTCTATAGTTTCACAGGATGACACTTAGATGACACACATTTTTTTCTCATTATAAAAATCCTTTTTATAATGTACAGTACAGTTTAATGTACAATAGCCGTGGACTGGGTCCTTTTCAACTCTCCCAGCGTAAGTAATCTTTAAACTTCCAGAAACAAATAGGCTCTTCTCCTCCCTCCTCCCTTCCTCTCCTTCTCTCCACCCTTTTCCTCTTCCTGACCCTCCCTAGCCTGTTTTCCCCTCCCTTGTCCTCCCCCCCTCCTGTCTTCCTTCTAATTTTCCTCAGATCTGCTTCCTTTCTTCTTTGAAACTTCTCCTTAAAACACTGAAGACACAAAAAGCTTCCGTGCCTGGCCCTGGCTTTTCCTAAAGACCCTTCCAACTTTGGGATTCTCTGGCTCCAATTGCTCAGACCGCATTATTTTCTTCGTCAAAAGGGTGAACCCATACTCTCAGCAAGTTATCAATCCAATAGGAGAAGTTTTCCTGTAAATATTGTCAAAGATGGTACTATTTTCTCCATGGGTCAATTAATATGAAGAGACTAATAGGTTTAGCAGAGGTAAACATATGCTGTTAACTAAAGTCCACATTTATTCATGAATTAATTTATTTACACTTTCCCATTTATTCTTAAGGGAGCCATGTACTGGGTTTTCTGCAAGAACTCCAGCCTTGGGCATTCTTTGTCTGGTGAAAGGATGAGACCCTCACGAAAGTTAACTACAATACAAAGAAGGCAGTGGGTAATATCCAGAGAAAAGCACAGAGACAGTGCTGCATTTTCTCACGGGGCTCTGATAAGGCTTTATAGCAAAGCTGAGCAACCCAGGCAAATGCTTGCCTTTCTCTGCGTTATCCAGCTTGGACACCGCATTTATCCAGTGCTCATTGGGTAATTGCACTAGCTGAGCCCCTGTTAGGCTTTCATCTTCCAGGCTTAGTCTTGGGGAACTAGCACACGTCAGATGTCTGGTCTGCAAGATAAACTAAAGAAGCAGAAGTCCCTGAGCCTGGAATGAATACACACGAGATTTTTTAAAATGTCCAAGATGATCCTGACACACTCCAATGGAGTCACATTGCAAAAGTATAACAGCTTTCTTCCAGACCAGGTGCTACTTAGATGATAGGGGTACACCTTAGAATGCCAGGTGGGTAGGGAGGCAGAATATTAACAGATCCTAGGCTAAATTTTGATACATTTAGAACATTCTGGAGTCTCAATGTCTCTAGCTTTTAACCACTATATCTTGGAAGCAAATCAATTTCTTTAAAGCATTAGTAAATTGAAACTCTCAAGAAGATTCTCATCTCTACAGTTTATGTGATTGAGGTGGATGACAGAAATTTCTAGAAGTCTTATATTTCCCACAAAGTACTCTAGCATTATTACTACAGTGTTAAAAGGGAGATTTAGATGGTTTGCCTGAAATTGTACCTTTCTTTCCCTTGATTTTGTATTACTCCCAGGTATGTGTCAGAGATAGGGAAATATTTCAAATTACTTAGGTCAGTTGTTATTGTGTTGGCCTTTAGAACAACTTGGGAATGTTTAGGAAAAAAGAAAAGTAAGAAACTACTATAAGATGACTGACTGCCTTACCTTCAAAAGTTAAATTTCCCCTTTTCTAGGGGTAATTTTCTAATCTCCTCAGGATCAGCTAGAGTAGAATGTGCAGCTAAAGTAGAAAACCACGGATTGAGACCCCAAAGGGGTAACAAACAGGTTATAAACATATGCTCTCACATACACGTTCCCTGTCATTGTGCCTCTGAGTAAAAGCAAAGAAATCTCAAATTTAACCTCCTCCCCCGTCCCTCCAAAAATAAGACTCTGAATGGAAAAATACATCTTACATAATAAAATGACCCATTTATGAAAAATAGGAAAGATGCTATATAGCCCAAAATGAAGGTATAGTAAAGTACAATAAATCCTTTTAATGTAATATTGTCCAGCAATATTAAATTGTGACTATCAAGAATTTATGGCCATGTGAAAAAATAAATATAGATATATCTATACCATCTGAACACAACTACGAAAGCCAAACTAAAGTTATACACAGAAACACACAAAAGAAAAAGAACGTAAAATTAATACCACACACACACACACACACACACACACACACACACACACATCAATGGAGGCTATTTCATCTGTGGCATTTGCTTCCTTACACTTTTTTGTACTTTCTTAATATTTTCTAAACTACGTATATGGTAAAAAACAATTTTATAGTCAAACAAAAGTAACTTATTTTTCAAAAATAATTCTTCTGACTATGTCTAAAGTGACAAGGAAGGTGTAAGTCTTAACAATGAACAAAACAAAGATAAAAATGCTCACCTGAGGTTTCTTTCTTTCAAGTGACTTAGCGTTCCTCTCTTCTGTCTCTCCTCCTTTCCTCCTCCAAGTAATTCAGCTTGCTCATTTAAAAGAAAAGTGAAACTGTGAGTTATACTTTATGAACAGTGTCAGCCAATAGCAAGAGAGTAAGGAACTTTTCAATCAGTGGGCCATCTGTCCTTCATAGAAACTAGGTGTGGGTGTTGGTGCTGGCTTCCTTCTCAAAAAGGGGAAAGATTTCCAGTTAGGAACTACATCTAAAAGAAGAAACCTAGATGAGCTCTGACTCTTTAAGGACTATTTTTATCGGCATCTTTTACAACAGATCCAGGGGATGTGATGGGCTTGAGTCAGTGGTTTTAAATGGCTTTTAGTTCTCTTAACTGGCTTTAGTTTCCATGACAACAGTAACATCAATATTTTAGCCTTAAGTATACAGCACTTTAGATCTGTTTAGAGCACTTCCCATCACCCACTTGCGTTATCAATTTACTTGCCCTCAGGCAAAGACCTTACCCAATCTGCTAAAAAATGCTTCATGGAAGGCTACCAAAGATTGCTTCATTGCTCATATCAAAGGTTCTTTCTTTCTTCATCTTCATCTTCCTTCCCCTAGTGCAGTGGTTCTCAACCTTCCTAATGCCACAACCCTTTAATACAGTTCCTCATGTTGTGGTGACCTCCAATTTCATTGTTACAAATTGAACATAATTAAAGCATAGTGATTAATCACAAAAACAATATGTAATTATATATGTGTTTTCCGATGGTCTTAGGCGACCCTTGTGAAAGGGTCGTTCAACCGCAAAGGGGTCGCGACCCACAGGTTGAGAACCGCTTCCCTAGTGGTTATACAATGAATCAATGCCACTTTCTTAAAAGTTTTACTCCTTATTTCTCTCATTCTCCTGGTTCTTTTACTGCCCCATTGATTGCTTCTTCTTTGCCTCTTTTTCTGATGCCTCTTCTTCCACACTTTTTCTAAAAATGAGCTTTCCCCAAAAGTCTGTTTTCTGACTGTATTCTTTTATCTATGTCTACATTACCTACATATGGCCAAATTTAATATGTCCAATACAGAGCTGCTTATCTCTTCCCCTCTCAAGCATACCTTTCTCCATCAAAACAATACAATCAAATGTCACCGCAATGATTTACCCATTAATCAGTTTATAAACCAAGAAGTCATCTTTAACTTCTCTCATTCTCTCACAGCCAGAATTCAAGCCAAACAATTTCATTTGCTCTACCTGAAAAATATTTCCCAGATCCAACCAGTACTTACCTCCCTATTCTCATTAAAAATACTCATCATTTCTAGGGTAGAATGTAGTAATATTAATCAAGAAATAAAAGGCACCCAAATTGGAAAGAAAGAAGTAAAATATGTCTGTTTGCAAATGACATACTATTATGTAGAAAACCCTAAAGATTTTACACACACACACACACACACACACACACACACACACACACACTGTTAGAACTAATAAATGAATTAGGCAAAGTTGCAGAATACAAAATCAACACATAAAACTCAGTTTCATTTCTATACACTATCAATTATGATAACATTAAAAAGAATAAAATATTTAAGAATTAACTATAGAGAGAAGGTGGTGGCCAAATAGGCAGACCTTTCTTGCACCTCCTGCCAGGGCCAGACTGGAAATACAACTAAATTGGGGACCATTCACCCAGAATTACCAAGTGAGATCCAACTGAGAAGAGACTTATAGTAAAGAAGGACAGAAAACACTTGGAGACTACACCTGCACAACAGCTTGCACGACGTGGTTGGGGATGAGCCTCACAGTCAGCCAGGCTGAGAAGAGACTCCTCCAATGAATGGGACAATGACATTTATGGCCCTATTAGAATAGGAGAGCCCAAGTAACTCACACAAGGGACATCTGTAGAGCAACCAGCTCACAATATCTAAGAGACTGCACCACTGGGTCCCACAAAACACTTACAAGGCCACCCCACAAAGACTGGGATAGCAAGTTGATCTGATACATAGAAACAAATACAAAGGGACAGTAAAAATGGGGGGCCAAGAAACAACCCCCAAGTGAAAGAAAAGGAGTAAACTCTAGAAAGAGCTAAATAAAATAGAGGCAAACAATTTATCAGATATAGAGTTCAAAGTAATGGTTATAAGGGTGCTCAAACAATTTAGTGACAATTTCAAGAAACTTAGTGGGAATTATAACAGCATAAAACAAGAAATAGGAACCATAAATAAGAATCAGTCGGAAATGAAGAATAACATATCTGGGATCAAGAATACACTGGAAGAAATCAGAAGTAGATTAAATGAGGCAAGAGACTGAATCAGTGACGTGGAAGACAAGGTAAAAAAAAACATGCAATTAGAGCAGCAAAGAGAAAAAATAATTAAAAAGCAGGAGAATAGTTTAAGGGAACTTTGGGACAATATGAAACGTAACAAAGTCTACATACCATAAGGAGAAGAAAGTGAACAAGGAATAGAGAACCTGTTTAAACAAATAATGAAAGAAAACTTCCCTAACCTGGTGAAGAAAAAAGTCATACAAGCTCAGGAAGCACAGGGAGTTCTAGTCAAGATGAATCTAAAGAGACCCACTCCAAGACACAATCAAAAGAGCAGACATTAAAGAATCTTAATGGCAGTAAGAAAGAGACAGAATGTTACCTACAAGAGAGAACCCGTTAGAATGTCAGCTGATTTCTCAACAGAAACAATTCATGCCAGAAGGGATTGATATGAAGTATTCAAAGTAATGAAAAACAAGTACCTGAAGCCAGGACTTCTCTATGCAGCAAAGCTATCATTTAACATTGAAGAGAAAAATAAAAAGCTTCCAAGACACAAAAAGGTTAAAGGAATACATTATTAACAAACCAGCATTTCAGGAAATGTGAAAGGGTGTGCTTAAAGAAGAAGAAATTAAGAGAGACGAACATAGGTATAAAGAAAAAAATGCTAGTAAATAAGTACCTATCAATAAAAATATAAATTGATTAAATGCTCCAATCAAAAGACAAATAGTAGCCCTAACCAGTTTGGCTCAGTAGATAGAGCGTCAGCCTGCAGACTGAAGGGTCCCAGGTTCGATTCTGGTCAAGGGCATGTACCTTGGTTGCGGACACATCCCCAGTAGGGGGTGTTCAGGAGACAGCTGATCGATGTTTCTAACTCTCTATCCCTCTCCCTTCCTCCCTGTATAAAATCAATAAAATATATTTAAAATAAAAAAAACATATAGTAGCTGAATAGATAAGAAAACATGTCCCACATATCTGCTGTCTACAAGAGACCCATCTTAGAACAAAAGATTCATGCAGACTGAAAGTGAAGGTATGGAAAAAAATTTCCATACAAAGGAAAATGAAAAAATAAAGCAAGGGTAGTATTACTTATATGTGATAAAGTAGACTTAAAAGCAAAGGACATAACAAGAGACAAAAAAGGCAACTAGATAATACTAAAGGGATCGATACAGAAGAGGATATATCCTGGTAAACACATATGCACCCAATATGGGAGAACCTAAATATATTTTTTAAAGCTCTTGGAGAAATTTAAGGGAGAGATTGACAAGAATACAATCATAGTAGGGGACTTTAACACCCAGTAACATCACTGGATAGACCTTCCAGAAAAAAATTAACAAGGAAATAGAGACCTTAAATAGTACACTAGGTCAGATGGATCTAATGGACATTTACATAACATCCCACCCCAAAGCTGCAGAATATACATTCTTCTCAAGTGTACATGGAACACTCTCAAAGATAAGCCACATTTTTTTGTTTTTTGGTGTTTTTTAAAAATATATTTTATTGATTTTTTACAGAGAGGAAGGGAGAGGGATAGAGAGTTAGAAACATTGAGGAGAGAGAAACATTGATCAGCTGCCTTCCTGCACACCTCCTACTGGGGATGTGCCCACAGCCAAGGTACATGTCCTTGACCAGAATCAAACCCAGGATCTTTCAGTCCACAGGCTGACACTCTATCTACTGAGCCAAATCAGTTAGGGCAAGCCACATGTTAAGACACAAAATAAGTCTTTATAAGTTCAAGAGGATTGAAATTATATCAAGCATCTTCTCAGATCACAAAGGAATGACTCAGAAATTAATCACAATACAAAAAACATTCAAACACATGGAGTCTAAATAGTATGTTATTAAACAATTAATGAGTTACCAATGAACTAAAGGAAGAAATAAAAAACTTCCTGGAAACAAATGAAAATGATCATGCAAAAAAACAAAATCTATGGGACACCGCAAAAGCAATCCTGAGAGGGAAACATTATAGGCCTATGTCAAGAAATAAGAAAAAGCT